ATCCATCACCTCTACATATCTCTATTTTCTATTTATTATCTAGCTAGCAAGCAACCATCTATCACCCTTATTTTACTGTATTTTGCTTTTTAAACATCTCTCTGTCCCAGCATTATATCCACAATTTTACTTGATTTGTTACCATCTCTTTTTCAAACATTTTGCTCTGTTTCTATCTTTCTTTCTTGCCCTCTCCCTTCTTCCTTCCTTGATTCCTTTCTCCCTGCCTCTCCTTTCCTCTTCCTCTCCCTCCTTTTCTGAATGCCTCTTGATGACTTTTCTCTCTTTTTTCTCTCTTCTTTGCTTTCTGGCCTTCTCCTCCTCCCTTTTTCCCTCCTCCCTCTTCCTATTTCCCACCATTTCTCCCTCCTTCCCTCCACCCTCTTTTACCCTCCTTTGCTTTGTCCTGGATTACTTTTTGCCTTTTCACCTTTCCCCTTCTAACTGCCCTCTTTAACTCCCTCCCAGCCTTCTTCCTCTCCTTTTCTCTTCCTTCTTCTACTCCCATCTTCCTGACTCGTTTTTTAAACACTTTTCTTTCCTTTTCTCTTTACTTTTTCCTTTTTAAATTTTTTTGTATTATCTTTTTTACTGGCCTCTTTTTACAGTCCTACCTATATCTATCTGAAAATCAAGTTATCAACATACCTATCTTCATTTTACCTCAACAACACAACAAAATTTTATTTTGTTTTCTTCCTGGCTCCATTTAACAAAACTTGGTTCCTCTTTTTTTCTAACATTTTTACTGGCTTCTCCTTTGTAAAGTCCATTTCTGTCTATCCATTATGTATGTTTTATTGTATTTCTTAAAAAGTATATTTTTATTGATTTCAGATAGGAAAGGAGAGGGGGAGATAGAAACATCAATGATGAGAGAATCATTGCCTGGCTGCCTCCTGCCCACCCACACTGGGGATCAAGCCTCAGGCATGTGCCCTGATCAGGAATCGAATTGTGACCTCCTGGTTCACAGGTCAATGCTCAACCACTGAGCTACACCAGCCACACTGTTCTACTGTATTTTTAAACTGACTTACAAATCCTACTTGATTCCTTACTTGCTCCTGCTTTTCAATTCTCTCTCTCTGCTTTTACTTTTTTCATACTCTCCCATCCCTTTTAAATGTTTTTTCTTCTCCCCTTCTTTTATTCCTTTTCTCCATGTTTTTAAAACTTTTCTTCTATTTATTTATCATGTCATCTTTATTTTAGTCTTTTTGCTTTTTCCTCAAATGTCTTTTTAAAACTGCCCCACCCCCTAAATTATACCTGAATTTCTCATTGGTTTCTCCCTTTCAAACTTCTCTTACAACAATCACATTCTCTCTTCTTTTCTATTTCACTTTTTCCAGCTGTCTTATTATCCTTTTAAAACACAACCGTAGATTCCACAGCTCATTATGCTAAAAATAAAGTAAGCAGATATAAGATAGCCCTTGCTGGTTTGGCTCAGTGGATGGAGTGTCGGCCTGCGGACTGAAGGTCCCAGGTTCGATTCTGGTCAAGGGCACATGCCTGGGTTGCGGGCTTGAGTGCAGTCAATCAATGATTCTCCCTCATCGTTGATGTTTCTATCTCTCTCTCCCTCTCCCTTCCTCTCTGAAATCAATGAAGATATATATATATTTTTAAAGATAAATGAAACTCTAACTCCTAACCCTGACCCAGAATACCATGCTGGTGTTTTAAAAGGATACAAGTTTATTGTGCCCATATCAATGTGCTTACAATCTTTTAATGGCTCACTCTGACTCTCAGAATAAAATGTGATCTTGTTTGGTTGGCATACCATGCCCATCCTGACCTGGCATCCAACTACTTCACTAACCTCATGTAATCCTATCCTGGCCTCTAGTCATACAAAAGTATCCATTATGGTACAGCATAGAAAATATAGTCAATATTATTGTAATAATTATGTTGCCAGGTGGGTACTGGAAATATGGAGGGGAATATTTTGTAAAGTACAGGATTGTCTAACCACTATGCTGTATAGTACTCATTATGCTATATACCTCTGCACAGGCTGTTCCCTCTACCAAGACCATCTTTCCTTATCTTATATCTAAACTAATGTGTCCCTGCTTGGGCCACATATTTTAAACCCTCCTTACCTGTTCCCCAGTTAAGGTGGAAAGGACTTGTCTTCAAGTTCAGGTACAGAAACCTGTTGCTATGTACTGAATAAAATGACATTTCCCATTTGTAACAAAAATAATGAATGAATAAGTAAATAAATCTTACATAATTAAACCCTAATATGCAAATCGACTGAATGGCAGAATGACAGGTCGCTATGACACACACTGACCACCAGGGGACAGACGCTCAATGCAGGAGCTGCCCCCTGGTGGTCAGTGTCCTCCCACAGGGGGAGCGCCACTCAGCCAGAAGCCGGGCTCACAGCTGGTGCGGTGGCAGCAGTGCTAAGGAGCAGCAAGCCCAGCTTTTGGCTGGCAAGCACAGCGCTCCTGCCTCCATGGCAGCACTAAGGACCCCTCAGTGGGGGAAGGCATCCCAGACTGCGAGAGGGCGCACGAGAGGGGGCACGCACGCCGGGGCTGAGGGACCACCCCCCCACCTTGCTCCCCTCCCCACTCCCGTGCAGGAATGTCATGCACCCAGGCCTCTAGTAAATAAACAAACTAATTAATGTGTGCTTGTCCTCCTTACAGTTAAGATCCTTCAGGATAGAACCAAGTGTTCATTTTTGTGTCTGCGGTGTCAGAGTGCTAAATATACAATGAGCTTAATACATGTTTGTGTGATTAGTTAGTGCAATTAATAGTTGCATGGCTGAAAATTCATCAATACAAAATACTTTACAATGTCTACTGATTATAAAGTTTTCATGAAATTCTGCAATGTCTAAGTTGTGGTATCCCTAAATAAGACCTCAAGGGCATCTGCATTAGTAGAGGGGTTTAGAGGTTAGATGAAAGAAAGTGGTGACAAAACTTGGTGAAGTTCAATAATTTTAAAGGAACATTGGCAGAAAAAAGTTCTAATGCCCTAATAAGCAACTTTATTTTTTGTTTTCTATCAAATTTGTTATATATTTTATGAAGTAAAGGACATTTACTGTAACCTTAATGTTTTTAGTTCTTTGAGCACAAGTAATGCTAAATGAAAAAAGGTTTTTCTTTTTGTTTTGTGTATTTTTCATTTGGCTGCTGAAATATGAATATATCTTATGTGCTACCCTTCTACCCCCTGAGCCTTCTGAGACACATGGCATGGACAGCAGGGGGTAGAGGGTCACTGAGACTAAGTAGCGACAAATAGCTAGAAGTGAAAAACTCCCAAAACCAAAAAATCTCCTAAAATAAGAACCTATTTTTAAAAAACATATATATTTCAGAGAGAGGGAGTTAGAAACATCAATGGTGAGGGAGAATCGATTGGTTGCCTCCTGCACGCCCCCTACTGGGGACGGAGCCTGAAACCTGGGCATGTGTCTTGACCAGGAATTGAACTGTGATCTGGTTCATAGGTTGACACTCAATCATTGAGCCACACTGGCCTGGCAGAATCTAGCTTTTATAACTACAGTAATTGTCTCTACACAAATATATAGACATCAAAAAATAAAGTTAAATAACTTTAACTTGCAGAACATTAATACTGGTATAAGGATATCTTCTAAATATACTATCGTTCTAGTATTTGCCTCAGGCATTCATTTAAAAATATGTTAGTATATACATGTCACACAAAATACTTTCAAATATTTTAGACCTTTTTTCCACTCATCAACTAAAGATCCATGGCTCATTTTGACATGTCTAAAATCACAGCAGTGACAGTATTTAAACTATTGCCCATTATTTCTGTAATTTTAATCACATATCTATGGTAACCACCTATAATCTGTATTTTTGACTATATTCCACTGACGGCTGAATTCTTATTTTTGTTTTACAGATGAGGGGCTGAATGATTTGAAACTAGGTTTACAAATAGATTTCTCCCCTCAGGGCTCTGAGTATTGCTAGTTTTCTCTATTCTTCTGGCCTGTCCAGGGCATTCTATCTAGAATGGGAGTTCTGGCATTCACCAAGAGCCATAGCAGCACACTTTGCTTTAGAGGTTCATGCTTCTGAGAAACATTTAAATATACAATAGGGTGATTGGGATTTAGAGTTTAGGACATACTTTATTAAGAATAAGTACAGTATAAAGTGAAGTTCAGTAACTTACATGCTTGTGATTATGTGCCATATTGCTAATAAACTCACTTTTTCATGGATGAATACTATGTGTATTTTATGGAATGCTCTAGACCTAGTTAAGTGTTCAAGTTTTTGTTGTTGTTAATGTTTTTATTGATTTCAGAGAAAGAGAAAGTGACAGAGAGATGGAAACATCAGTGATGAGAGAGAATCATCAATCAGCTGCCTCCTGCACACCCCCTACTGCGGATCGAGCCCGAAATCTGGGCATTTGCCCTGACCTGGAATTGAGCCGTGACCTCCTGGTTCATGGTTGACACTCAACCACTGAGCAACACCAGTGGAGCTTAAGTGTTCAAGTTTTGATGTTTCATTGTATTCGTTAAAAAGTTCTGCTTTCCCTGACTTCAAAAGAAATATAGTCATTATAGAAAAAAATACAGAAAAGGGAAAAAAAATCACCAGTAATTGTTCCACCTAGATATACTAGTAATCTCTACTTACTATATTTTGGAGGCTATCTTTCTAGTTTTGCTTTTCCCTAGCAACTGTAATTATTTTTAATTTTAGTCCTTGTGCTAGACTCTTCAGATAAAACTGTATATAAAAAATCTGACACAAAGGAAAAAAAGGAATCTGACACAACAGAGATTTAATAATTGGAATACAATGTAACTTAACCTTCCTCTCCACCCTTCTCTTAATAGAAGCTACTTCTAGTCTTTTTTTGTTGTTGTTATATCTGGACTTGGTATACAGAGTTAATGACTAAAGAAAGACATATTTATATTTATAACAGAATAAAAGAAACTAGAGGAAAACAAAACATTTTCAGGTATTTTAATTAAATTATCACACAAATCAAAGTTACAAATATACAAATGCAACTATTTATAAATATGTAAACATACGTACAAAGACTAGAAAGGAATACACACAAAAAATAGGTGTTTGGGTGTTGGGGTTATGTTTCTTTTTCATTGTTTTGTAATACTCAAAAAACATTATATTGCAATAGGACTATTTTAGTGCTAGAGAATCTTATATAAATGTATTTGTTCAAGAGCTTCCCTGTTAATATCCTTTTCTGGGTATATATCATAGTTCAGTGGTACCTCTTCAACCCAGGAAGATAACTGTATACTAACCTGGAAAAAAAAAGATTATAAACAAACAGGAAAATTATAGACTAATCCTATTTTCGGGAAGAAATCATGACTAAGTAAGTTCCTAAACACAACAAATTTTTTAAATATATATTTTTATTGATTTCAAAGAGGAAGAGAGAGATAGAAACATCAATGATGAGAATCATTGATTGGCTGCCACCTGCACGGCCCCCACTAGGGATTGAGCCTGCAACCCAGGCATGTGCCCTGACCAGGAATCGAACCATGACCTCCTGGTTCATAGGTTGACGCTCAACCCCTGAGACACACTGGCCAGACAACACAACAGATTTTTACTACAATGAGCAGGACTAAGTTCTACACGGTACTACATGAACAATTCTTTTCTTTTTCTTTTCTTTTTATTATTCACATGAACAATTTTTTGTTGTACTAAATGGTCTATGAATTCAGGAATTTAATTAGTTTACTCTGAGATTTTGAAATTTTAAAGAATAAAGAAAGTAAAGAATTGTTTTAATGTACATAATTTAATCATCATTAGGTTTAAACAAAATTCTAAAACAACAATGGCAACACACAGAAAACTGCTCATATATACACAGTGTTGGTGCTAAGGGGTTGTAAAAGCAGGGCTAATCTCCCTCTATAACCTTCATCAGGCCCTTCCCTTCACATTGAAAACTTGAGTCTCCATGACAAAGAAATTCTGGAGCCAACAATGGATATATATCTGTTTAAAGAAGTTTCATTAAATAGGAGAGCAATAAAATTATTCAACAATTTATAATAAGGACTCTGTAAATATTAATTTCCAATGGTTGTCAAGACAGATTTATGTATTTAGTGTGAAAGTTATTTTGATAAAATAACTGAATTATTTCAATATATGTAGAAATTATAAATTGGAGACCACATATTTTAAAAGGTTTGTTTTGACCTGGCCGGTATCCATGACCTGCTGGAGCATTGTTCCATACACCAAAAGTTACAGGTTGGATTCCTGGTCAAGGCACATACCTAGGTTGCAGGTTCAATCCCTGGTCAGGGTGTGTGTGGGAGGCAGCCGATCGATATT